CCAATCCGCCTCCTGATCTTACTTTTCAGTCTTAACAGACGTCTTTTCTGATCTGGCCTCATCTTAGCTTTGGCCCTCCTGGTCATCTACTCTTGGGAGTATTTGACGATATTGTCTTGATCAGGAATTCGTCTTCTTTCCTTACTACATGTCAAGGCCTTCTCATGTTCCTTTTCAATTCTATACCCTTTGTTGATAATTATGTTGTCTTTGTATGTCTTTGTTGTTATATTGATAATTTCACCTCCTCCAAATCGTTAAATAGCTAATTTGAACATCGTTAATAGATTTTTAAATTCGAATTTATTTTACCGTTGCAAAACACGATCAAAACTACTAGTACTTTATGCTTTTTGGGCCATTCAATAATTTACTCTGAGATTATTCAATAGTGACCACTAAATTATCCAATACTTAACCTTGAATGCATTACTTTGATCATTGAATATTTCTTTATGAGGTCATTACTTAAATCTGAAACTATCAAATACTTTACTTTGAGGTCGGACAATACTTTTCTCTGGTGGTACAATGCTTGACTCTGAAATTATCCAATACTTGACACTGAGATCATCCAACACATATGAATCTAAAACTACCCTATGCGTAGTAACTCTGAGTATTTTTCTGCAGCACGAAGAGTCTGCGGACGCCGTCCAACGTGTTTGTGGTGAACCTGGCCATCTTCGACCTCTGTATGATGCTGGACATGCCCATGCTGATCATCAACTCGTTCTACCAGAGGCCTATAGGCTGGGAGTTCGGTTGTGATATGTATGGCTTGTTCGGCTCCATCGCCGGCATCGGCTCAGCTATCAACAACGCCATCATTGCCTACGACAGATACAGGTATGACCGTTTTGGGAGGGTATGTACATCGTACATCGCAGGGGCAGTGTTATGCTAGGTTTAATGTATTTGTTATATCATTGACTATACACAGAATAGACTTCCCATGTAATGTAAAAATTTGAAGTAAAAAAAAAAAACGTGGTGCAATATATTTTGAGATGGTCTACCAACTAATGAAAATATTCTGTGTTAAGTGATAAATCAATCAGCAGTTTGCTATAATACTGTATTGGTTTAAATTATTAGTTAATTCAAACAATAGTAAACTCATAATTATGTGCACGTAATATTTTGTGATTAATTAAAAATACTGAACTTAAAGAACTTTGAAGAGCTTTAAATGGATACCCAAAATGCCTATAAAAATAAATATTAGGGGTTGATTAGCTGCACACGAAAATTATTTTAATAATATTGATTATTTAATGCTAATAAATCTTAGTGGTACTGCTATTGTGTGTATTTTGTTTAACCTTGTATTGATATTTCAATGTTAGAGTTTACTTTTTATTTAATCTATGGACTTGATCAACAGGACTATAGCATTTCCTCTGGACGGGCGGCTCACATACAAGCAAACCCTGCTTCTGGTGCTCTTCGCCTGGGCCTATGCACTCCCGTTCTCAATCTCCCCTATCAACAACTACTGGGGAAAATACGTACCTGGTAAACTAATTGATTAACCACCTACGTAAATAACCAAATACTAAGCGAGTGAATTTTATCATTGAATTCTGCATACTTAAGTTGGCATGCCATTAAAGTAAAACAGCTACAGCCGATTTTTTACCTAAATGTTTAATCAATGATCGAACCCCATACCCCTTGCAACAAAGTTTGAGACGCTGACAACTTTGAGAAAATGCCGCGATTATGTGGTTCAGAACCCACCATTAGCTGATGTCACCTATGAAAACTATCTCTCAAATTAAGTGACTTTTTCTGTAGGTTTATCCAGAGGAAATATGAGAAATGGAGTGCCTTTCCATGAAATACGATAATTATTGTTTAATAAACTAATTTTGTTACAGAGGGCTACCTGACGACTTGCTCGTTCGACTACCTCACTCAGGACGAGAACACTAGAGTGTTCGTGGGCTCAATCTTCGTCTACTCCTACTGCATCCCGATGTTCCTCATCATCTTGTTCTACTCGCAGCTAATCGGACATGTGAGGCAGCACGAGAAGATGCTGAAGGAGCAGGTGTGTTGAACTCTAATGTGTCAATTTTCAGGCTTAACTTTGCTATGCAGTCTCGTTGTTCAATGTTTGTATTGCCTTCTAGCCTCATCTTAATCCCACGAATGCTAGAACAGTTCTTTTAAAGTATTATTGCTTAATTCTGTATTGAACTGAAAACCGCTGTTCTCAATACGTTGTGTGAATAAAGTATATTTTATACCCCTAACAGCCCTTTGGACGCTGTGGTCGAGATATCTACATGGAAAATCTATAGCCAATACATTTTCCCCCTTTAGATATTGATTTGATTGAGACATAGAAGATTTTTTAAAGGTTTGTTTTATTTTTTCACAACGATTTGTTGATACGTTATTAATATTTTCTTAAACTTGGTACATGAATTCGTTACCTCAAGTATTTTATGGCCAGTAGATTATTGGCTTTATCATTTACTATTTTGTGTTGTTTCAGGCCAAGAAGATGAATGTCAAGTCGCTATCCAGCAACCAAGACGCTGCTCAGAAGAGCGTCGAGATTAGGATTGCAAAGGTATTAACATAGATAAAACATACTCCCTTAGTAGATTTCTCATCCTTATGGAACAGCTGAAGACAATTTTATTGTTAGTTCGTGTACGGTTTATGTAGAGGTCGTGTTTTGTTTACAATTTGTTTCCCGTAATTACAGCCATTTAAAACCTCGTTTAACCAAATAATACGATCTAATCATAAACAATAACTTGTCCCCTAGTTATATAACTAAACAGTAAAGCACAAATCAAGAAATTAACCCTAAAATAATGGAAACAAAGTTCCATCGACACTAGCGCCTTTGTGTCACGTACATGAACTAGACACGAAAAACGTGCTTCAAAATTTACAATGGGATGAGAAGTCTACTTGTGTTGGTTAGTCTATGGTATTAATTACTTTTTCATACTATTACAATTTCCGTTAGTGTATGGATTTAACATATCAACAAGAAAGATTACACGTGATTTTCTACAGATTATCTACGTGTAAAAAACAAACTAGACAAAACTGACAATGGTAGATACAAAATGTAAATAATTGTTTTGATGGTAACCAGCTTAGATAATCACGACAGAGGCCAGAATCAAAACTTTTATTTTGATTGTTTATTCTTTTATATACATAACTTTACCAAAAATTTACAGTTCTCTGTGTGAGCAAAAGTCCTTTCATATTTATATGTCTCCATACTCTTTCGATGGGGAGGGACCTCGTATTATATACACCCAAATTTACAGCAAAAATACGACGTTAAACAAATGTAAAGGCAGGCTACACGTATATATATATTCGATGCGCTGAATGCTTTTGCTTATACACAGAAATAATTTACAGAAAAAACCTTCAATGGTGCACTTCAGTGGTGTCTAATACTGGTGGTGGTGTCTATGGCAAGGTCGAACACCACCCCTCACCATCATGCACTACAACGCTCACGATGGAGATGAAATACCGTGTGCAGTATTATTTCGGGCTATTTCATGCTTGTCAAAAGTATATTTAAAAAAAAACAAAGCTTAATTCTCACGGTCGTCCCATAAGCGTATTACCTCTGTACACTGATCTCTGTGAGTCGGTGACTCTTTACGTAATAACTGTCAATGTTAGCACTTTTAGATTATTGCTCTGTATAGTTGGATTGTTTTCTAATAAAACTAATCGTAAGTTATTTTCAAGGTTGCTTTGACGATCTTCTTCCTGTTTGTCTGTTCCTGGACTCCGTACGCCCTCGTAGCTTTGACAGGGACCTTTGGTGACAGGTGAGTTTTGAAAGTTTTCTGGTTAAATCGCTACGCACTTTTAAAACAGAGCTTGTTAATATATAATCTCTGTTTTAAAGATCCAAATTTTTTTGGGTTTCTATTTAGCAATTTTCATTGGGGTTTCTTGGTTATGTATTACGTTTTTGAAATACATTTAATTAACGGATTGAGATTATTATTATTCATGGGGTTCATTTGAACGAATAAAGCTGTCTTAATATTTATAAGGGTAGATTAAAATGTTTGGCTAGTCTCAGGAAGAGGCATGGCTTCATGCAGGCGTCCCTGGTACAATCTAAACCTTCAATGCATCATAGAAAATTATAATTATTTAAAGCTCAATGACCCCAGCGTAAATTTCACGTTAAATTGTATCCAAAGATACAACAAAGTTAAACCAGGTTAAAAAATTTAATGAAGGTGTTAATGAAAGGTTACATTTTAATCTGATTAAAAACTTATACCTCATGTATTCGTGTACAGCACTTTATACTTACGACCAAACCAACCTTGCAGGTCTATCTTGACGCCGATGGTGGGAATGATCCCTGCTGTCTTTGCTAAGGTAGTTTCCTGCGTTGACCCATGGGTGTACGCTATCAACCACCCACGATTCAGGTAAGGATTGTATTACAGGATCATTTGGTTTAGTACCCGGTGATGCATTATAATTATACTTTCTACTTAATTGATGAACGTAAAGTTATATAGTTTAGGAACACAGTTGTAGTTTGTTCGTTTGGCCTGTGAAAATGGGAAAGTAAGGTTTAATATAGCCATGGGATACTGGAGCTAGCCAGAGGTTGCTTCAGTGATAGACTAGTGCTTCATGTGGCCAGTTTCGAAGTAATACCTTAAAGTAAAGTACTTATACTTTACTAAACGAATGAACCTAGTAACAAAGATAAATACAATAATCAAATCACTGCTTATTGCTCATAAATAACCAAGAAGACTAAAACCATTGACTTTATCTAAAGTCAATGCTAAAACTACTGTAGTAAAGAGGTTCAGCTTCATAGCAACATTCTACGCTAGCCAGCTGTGTAAAAAACACCACCTCGGTCGTCTGCAGTGATCTGCGACAAACACAAACAAACCCAAACTGCACGCACTGTGACAGAGACAGTGTTTGTTTTGTTTTTAGAAATTATTTGGAAGTGACTTAGGCTACTTTTGTAGTGGTTTTATAAGTTGTTAACTATTATTATATTTTTTTACCAACAAGCTCTTTAATTGTTCTTGTTCATTAGGATTTGTGATCGTAATATAACTTATTCTGTGTTTAGGTTATGAAACGAAACAATAAGATTTTCAAGGTTAGTTTTGTATGAAATCTAAAATCTTATCACATGAACTATCTCAAATGTTATGAAGATTTTTGGCTCCGCAATCAATTTGATCTTTAGGCCGTTAACATCAAGAAGTGTCTGGCCATCCCTAGGGACGAATATTACATGTACTAGAATACGAAATACCCTAAAACATAAAGTACAATTACACTCTACAATGGTTAAACATTTGAATCAGGAAGAAGCTACAAATATTGATTTGGAATTGTTCAATGATTACAAGTTTAGTGTAGACCAACTGATGGAATTAGCTGGATTAAGCTGTGCAACTGCAGTTTATCAGTGTTACAAAGCCAAGCCTCGGAAGAACGTTTTGGTTTTATGTGGTCCTGGAAATAATGGAGGGGATGGTCTTGTTTGTGCAAGGCATTTAAAATTGTTTGGGTTTGACCCTGAAATTTACTATCCCAAACGCACAGATAAGGAACTGTACCGCAACTTGACCCATCAGTGTATACAAATGGGAATTATATTCGTTAACGTGCTTCCAAGTTTGGAGAAAATCAATATGAAGTTTGACATCATAGTAGATGCTTTATTTGGGTTCAGTTTTCGTCCTCCAGTTCGTTCTGAGTTTGTCGAAGTTCTGGATTCACTTAGGAAAACTTCCGTACCTATTTGTAGCATTGATATTCCAAGTGGATGGAACGTTGAGTCAGGTCCACCTTCTGATGGGATCCAACCCGAAATGTTAATATCACTCACTGCACCCAAAAAATGTGCTGAAAGGTTCGAAGGCAAATACCATTATCTTGGAGGGCGGTTTGTGCCCCCCAAACTTGCTGAAAGATATCAGTTGCAATTGCCTCCTTATAATGGAACGGACTGTGTTGTTGCTTTGAAACAATAGACATGTTTTACCTACCAAGGGAGTTTGCATCTACAATGCTTCAGGGGTTACAGGTATACATCATACATTACAGGTTTACATAATACACACTTGTTGTTCGCTTAGTAGGCCTACTGACTGAAATAGGCTAGGCCTAACTTTATTTTAACGACTCTGTTAATTTGTGTTTAGCCTACTTGGATTTTCTATCAATTAACTTGATCACATCTTCTATGGTAAAATTTACTCATTTTGTAAAGATATTTGGGTCTGTGTTGCATTTCAAATGCGTTTCGGTTATGCCAGCTGAAATTGTATCCATGATTCCTGTCCCAAAGCCTGAGACACAAACAACCAGGCTAACAGCACACCCTATATTATAATTGCTCATCACTCATCTCTTATAAAATGGTGAGCCTTTCCCCATCCTCATAAAATTTTGTTTAGATATGCACTATACTTCTATCCTGAGTAGGCCTAGGACTATAGGATTTTCTGTGAACTGACCATTTGTACCTAGAGGCATACACTTGCATTTGACCTCACAATGTGATTTTCACAGAATAATTTGGGTTATTATAACGAGGTTATGTGGTTGCAATTAGTTGTTAGGCCTACTTACCATTCAACGTAATGCAATAACAATTTCTTTTTGTCTCTTATGCTGTCGGCTTTAGCGCAACCTCTTGTTTCTAGCTTTTTAATATAAGGTTATTTCTTTGCCAATAGCGTATTACTTGCGTGGGAACAGTGTTCACATTCTACTAGAAGGAGAATCCTATACAATAATCCTACAGTATAATGTTTGTTAATTTTTGGGCAGTGGTGAGCATTCCCACACAGAAAAGTTTAAGATCAGGGTCCAATTTAAATTAAATATTTGTAAATTAAAGTGCTGCAATTACATTTGTGATTACTTTCCAGGGCGCAGCTTGCTAAGAAGTTTCCAATGCTTGGGGGAGGTGATGACATGGTATCCGACACTGTGTCGGTGGCCACAGAGAAGACTCAAGCTTCCGACAGCGCTCCAAATGCTTAAACTAATGAAGACACTGGCCTGACATTGGACTTGACAAAGGATTCAATACATTAGACCGTCAGTGACATCAGTGAATCGTTGCTATACATGTACAAATGACTTTTTGTACAAGACTTTAGTCAGTTTCGGGATATTGACATTACTTTCCCTTCACTAATGTCACTGAAAGCCTAAACGTTACTTTTTTAGCTTCACCTTGTATAGCCCTTATTGTTTTGTTTTTATGTTTCATTCATTTGCAAACAAAATTTGCGATGTAAAATTGAGATGCGTAAAAGTTTCTCTGTGTGACTTTTTTTCTATGTTTCATTTATAAAATACAATACCTGAAGCAAGTTGACTAAAGTTTTTTTAATTATTGATCCCAAACCACATGATAATCTGGAGGACTTATTTAAGTAACTTACACTTGCATTAAGCGTACAAAATACATTAAACGACCAGGTCAATAGTCCGACATTTGAATACTCCTAAGAAGCTTTTTACAATATAAACCGAATCTTAAAAAGGAACATTAATTCCATAATTTGTTGAACTATGTCAACTGTATTGAGCCATATTATCCACTAGCACCTTAGCCTATGGCATCAGCGTGCAAGAGGTGTCCACAGTGGAAATTGACGTTTAAAAAAAATATATTTACAAAAATATAAATTGTTTTTCCAGGCCTTAAAACCAAAACTAATTATGTAAAGCTGACATAATTGGTCAATTAATTATGTAATTGGTCATAGTGATCGTCTAGAAATCAGAAGGTTCTGGTACGACCCATAGAAAAGTCGGAAGCTTTTTGATGGCGCAAAACTGGACTCAGCCGTTCTTGATTATTGGATATTCAATAAATGATCTTGGCTTTAGAATCTTATTAGGTAACAAAGCTATCACCTTGTCCATTCAAACAGTTGTATTTGCCTTAAAAAATGCATCCTGGTATAGGGTATAATAGTAACATTAAAATAAAGAATATGAACCAAATATTTGTATTGCTTTGTATGAATTTGTTTGGTACACATAACTATATCTTTACATGTTTTAAGAACACCTCATGTACTTAAACAGAATAACTTAGTGGCAACTGAATAAGAATACTAACTTAACTGTCAAGGTAAAGTTTAATTTTGAAAAGGAATGAAAATTCAAAATACTGAAAGCAATTGACCATTTACATGGAGTTGGCAATACAAAATGTCCATTGGCTATTAAAGTAATGTGCTACACATGTTTCATTACCAAAGTCTAGAAACTTTGGGGTAACACTCTTAATTAATACATAAAACATAAATTACATTCTTAACACACATTTTTTTAGAAGTCTTCCAAAAAGGGATGGTATAAATAAATTCAACACTGTCCTGTTTCTTTTTTTTATTTGTTTGTGTTTTCTACGCCAATGACAATTTTTACAAAAGGGAATGATCCAAACCCTGATCTTTAGTAAAAAAGTAAACACAATCAATCACAAGTAGCAAAATCTAGTGCTATGGGTATAGCACATAACAGAAAATATAAACAGTAATTTACTGTGCTAAAATTTATCATAGGGGCAACTTAATCAAACAAAAAAAAAAGTCCTGCATCATCGTAATACCAAGACTATGATTGGATCGTTTTATTTGGTTTAACGAGGTTTTAAATGACTGAAAAACAAGAAACGAATTGTAAACAAAACACGACCTCTACAGTGCACCGGACAGAGCTAAGAATTAAATTGGCTTCAGCTGTTCCATAAGGATGATAAATCTACTCAGGGAGTTTGTTTGATCATAGATACTCCTTGTTTTATCTATGCATAAAGCCTGTAGTAATAATAATTTATAAAGACATAGTACCACGGACAGTAAGCTCCATGACAACTAGTTGAACCTGCTAACAAAGCAAACAAGGGAGAAACAAAGATAGCAGCTGTTGCTGTCTTTGCTTGGCTGTTGGCTGCTGTCGTCTGCTGAGTGCTGGCCAAACCAATGTTTATGTTTTATAACCTATATAGCCTAGTAATAAACTTTCATAATTAATTTATGAATTGCGTTTCTGGCCTTTTTAGGCTACTAAGTGACTCTTAGTGTTGGTGAATAACGTTTATTCGTGAATTTTATATAATTGAGTTAGTCGTAGTTTGTTTTACTTTATGCTACTGTGTTCCTGTTTACTTCTAAGGCTCTCAAAAGATAACACTGAAAATATTTAATTCAAAATGCAATACAAGTTTTATGTGTCAAGTTCATAGTATTTTTTAGTTATAATGAGCTTTCCTTTTAAACTTATGGGGTGTCAGCTAAACCCTTTAAAAACTGCAAAATACAGTTTCATATTAGGCTTATTTACAGCAGGGCCAAAGTCTAGTCGCAACGTTCATCAGTACAGAAACCTAGTGCCTTGGAAAAACGCAATAGAATTATCTCAACATTTAATTGGAACAGTTATTTATAATGACAATGGTTCGTAGTAAATTGTTTGTAACAGTACATTTTATCCTTTCAGTTTTCAATATAGAATTTAAGTTTGATTTAATCTGTAGGCCTAATCAACAAGCGCAAAAAGCAAAATAAGTTAATGTCTAAGTTAGTGCTTGGACCATGTTAGTGTCCTAAGTCACAACCTTTGGCATGGTTTGTGTTTTGCATCCCTACCAAAAGCATAATGTACCTAAAATACATTTTTATTCAAAACCTTTTGGATATGAGACATAAATGCCATATGACACACACTTTGTCCCCCATGGTTTTTATATTGAGATAGGCTAAATTGGTTCCTATAAATTTCTTATCTACAAAAAATATATATCTTCTTACAATTTGGAATAACTCGGGATATTTCTTTATTGTAAGCTTTTAAAAATTCAATAAAAACACCTACTGTACCGGTAGCCTATATTTGGTGCTCCTAATAAAAAAAAATAACTGAGCCTATATATTTAACAATACATACTGTATGGGGTTGACCGCATCACAGAACTCAACTACTAAGTTAAACTAAATGCTTATAACTAAGACATGGTCTGACCCCTAAGACCATGATCGTATTATATTAGCGATAGTGACTGTGGAAGCATTAGTTCCTGAATATTGTAAATTTTAATCATTTTTTTTTTAAATCTTTTTCAGGATTTCTGGTGTTTAACAAACCTTACGGAGTTAGCTTTTCAAGAAGTGGAAATGCAGCTGAAATTCAAAAAGAAAAAAATATGAAACCAGAAGAAAAAGTATTTAAAAAGCCTAACAAACAATCAAAGGACTTTATAAATAATCAATACTACACAAGTGGAATTGTTAGTGACAGTTTAAGTCTTGTCGATTGTTTGCCTTACATTAAAAATCACTTTGGCTACAAAAAACTATATATTTCTAGGGTTCCAGGGAAGTAAGTACAATGTTTGATTTTTATACACTTCTGCCTACTACTGCTATGTAGTTGTCAGTTTTAGAATTGAAAAAAGCTACTGATTTCCTTTTATTTCCATAGAAAGCTAGACCAAATTTTAAATTGGCAACTGAAAGCAAAACAATTTATTCATAAACCATACAGTAGTATCTTTTATGATCCCTCTGTCCAAGCATGAAAAACGCGCACAAAATACCTTATCTCATTACCTGGCAGACTACAAGCGGATTACATTATCAAACAAAGGAAGTTGGATTTTCATGTCTCGACAGGAGTCAAAATACAGCTGACTTGTACTGTAAGGCAAAAATTTGAGTCATTGAGGCATATTGTGTAAACTTCAACTTATAAAGGTAAACTTCGAGTTATTGAGGTTCTATAATGGAAAAATTTGAGATTAAGAGGTTGAGTATTACCAACGAATACAGTCCTTATAAGAAGCGAAATGAAATGAAATGAAAAATGTCTTTATTTGAAATGAAAAATGTCTTTATTTAAGAGGCGAAGTTAGGACTAGCAAGTCCTCTCTACCACTTAACCTCTAAAAACATAAATAAACTATCCACTTTATAAGTAAAATTAAATAATCTAAGGTACCATATTATAAAAATGTTGAAATTAAATTAAATTAAATTAAATTTAAACCCAAAAGTCCATTCACACAAGCCGCCAACAACCCGCCACACCAGCGCCAGAGACTCATTCATGCCTGCTACTCAAAATCATAGATTTTATCTCTGCCCCAAACCTTGCACGGTTCTCTATGGATTTTATATGGTCAGGAAGAAAATTCCACATTCGAATTGCAGATACTAAGAAAGATTTATTAAAAACTGTTGACCGGTGAATTGGTGTAGATAAAAGAAGAGAGCCTCTACGAGTGGAACGGGTACTGATGTCAGAGATGAAATGGAAGTTATCTGATAAATACTTAGGAATTTTACTGTTGATAATGGAGTGTAGAAGACGGAGGGTGTGAAATTCCCGAAGTTCATTTAGCCTCATTAATGAAAGCAGGTTGAAATAGGGAGTGACATGGTCATATCGTCTAAGGCCAAATATGAATCTGATACAGGAATTCTGCGCTCGCTGAAGTCTGCTAGAAACCTCATTAGTCATGTCATTGATCACCACATCACAGTAGTTGAAATGAGTCAAGATGAGAGTTTTTACTAACATGATTTTCAAGTTTAGTGGAAGGTAGACTGCAAAACGTTTGATGGTGTGAATAGTCCCAAAGACCCTGTTACAAGTGGAATTTGCTTGGTCAGACCAATTCAAATGTTTGTTCATTATGAGTCCTAAGTTTCTCACTTTGTCGCAGTAGGTAAGGTCTTTTCCGTCAAAGCTAAGTTGTGGTGCAGTGAGTAAGTTTATTTTAGTCATTAATCTGGGGTAGCCAACAATCATTGCTTGAGTTTTGTCAATGTTGAGTTTAAGTCCGTTGTTTGTGGCCCAATGAGTTATTGATTCAATGTCAATGTTCATGAGCCGCACAGCAGTATCCATCTCGTCTACATTAAAGTGAGAGTAAATCTGTAAGTCGTCAGCATACAGATGGTAGTGTGAGTTAGTGATGTGTTCTGTGATGTCATTGATGTAAATTGAGAACAGTAGTGGGCCAAGAACAGATCCTTGAGGAACACCTCTAGTAATCTGCTCCCAAGTAGAACATTTGTCACCAGCTTTGACACACTGCTGACGATCAGATAAATAGGACTCAATCCAGTCAACACAGTTGTCAGAGAAACCAGCCAAGCGCAGTTTCAGGAGTAAAAGAGGATGGTATACGCAGTCGAACGCCTTTGAAAAGTCAAAGAGGGTTAAAATGGTGGCCTGTCTGTTATCCATTGCACGGCGGATGTCATCAGTAATTTTCAACAAAGCAGTGGTAGTGCTATATTTCGCGCGAAACCCAGATTGAAAATCCGATAAGACGTTGTTCTCTTCCAAAAAAACTGAGAATTTATTATGCACTATTCTTTCAAGGCATTTAGAAAGGGCAGGAAGAATGCTGATTGGTCTATAATCAGAAGGGGTATTGGGAGATGAAATTTTCTGAAGTGGGCGAACAATGACTGATTTCCAGATGGAGGGGAAGGTAGAGGTTGCTAATGATCTGTTAAATATGCATGTTAGTACCGGGAGAGTAACTGGTAGAGTGTCTTTAATAAACCTAATAGGAATATCATCAGCGCCGACTGCGTTACTTGTCATCCCTAGGATTGCCCTGCGAACATCAAATTCACTAACTGGGGAAAAGAAAAACTGATTTTCTGGCATGTCAAGTGGTCTAGATGTGATATCGGCAACATGGTTAAAGGCACCTGCAGAACTTATAGGAATATTCACAAAAAAGTTGTTAATAGTGTCGAGACTGATGGATATTTTATGTGAATTTTTAGACTTGCCGATACCTAGGTTCTTATGCTTATGAAGAATAATCAGACTCGAATTTTGCTGCGGAAATGAGCTTTGTGCGGTCGCCGCGCTACTCTATCTCTCTCTCCCTATGCCTATTCTTTGTCCCACTCTCTCAGTTGACTTGGCCGCAAGCTCGCGATAGTACGGCCTTCGATACCTATAGCGGTCGCCGCGGGAACTAGGCCTATCCAAAATTCAAATAGGTATTCCTAGACTGAATTTTTTAACATGCATTGCGCTTATTATAAGGTTTGTATTAATTGGTATTACTGACCAAAATCTGTTAAAAATTGAGTTTTGGGGTTAAATTTCTAAAACTAAAAGTATTTTTAACATTGCGATCTATGGGGATTATAAACATTTGAGATAAGGAATTCGAGTTATTGAGGTCCTTCTCTAATATTTTTGCTAAACCACAATTGTAATTTTAGGTACGTCAGTGGAGTTGCAATCCTCACTACAAACCCAGAGCTGGTGGATAAAGTCAATGTTGTCCATGCTCACGCACCAACTGGGAAAGATAAATATACAGCTGTTGTTGTCGGGGTTCCAAGGCATTCTTCAGGTGTAGTTAGACTTGGATTAAAGCTTGAATTTAAAGAAAATATTGGAAAAAAGGTGAGCAAAACAAAATTTATGTTTCCTCCATTAGCCAAATATTGTTGAAACAAATTAGTTGGTACCGTAGATTTAGTCGTAATGTTTTTCCTTGGAATTGTGTTTCTAACCAACTTTTATATTTTCATGCCCAAATTCTTATGAAAACCGTTAAATGGCTACATCATTGAAATATTTTTTAACAGTTTACTATGTACTTGAGTACTTACTAAGTTCAGATTAGTTTAAAAAAATTGTTGTTAATGTATGATCGGCTCAAAAAGTACCAGTTTTAGCGAATTTCCCATATAGGGAAATAAGCTATTACCGTAGTACTCATGGTAAGACCTGGACGCGGGACCGATTTTTTTTTTCGTTTTGAGGTCCCTAGAGGCCAAAAACACCTTCCGTTCAAATTCATATATATATATATATGTGTCCGTCAGCACGATAACTCGAGCAAAAATGATCCGATTTTGATGAAATTTGGTACAAACGTGTAAACGTAAGTTTATTCGAACGAGTTCGCGATCCAGCATGATCGGACCATGGGAACGGGGTTTAATGGGGTAAAAATAGGTTTTCCCATTTTTGACCCAAAAAACATAAAATTTAGCAATTTCTTTTCAAACCATTTTGTAGAGCTTAAAAAAACAAATAATTTAGTATAATGAAGCGTTATTATGCGCCTCATGGTTACGGAGAAAATTCCAAAAAATTGTAAATTTAAAATTCCCATGCTATTCTTATGGAGAATAAGTAAACTGTTGTAGTTTGCTTGTTTGTGAACATATTTTGATGAAATTTGGAAAATGTTTTTATTTCTTACTAGCTATTCACATTTTACAAAAAAAAAAAACAAACAGTTTTACCCTCCCTGATGCAGCAAACCTAAGTACTTGTTAAACTAATTCTATTTAAATCAAGAATAAATGTTATACTTTTAAGTAGACATTTCAGTGTAAATCCAATCAGTCAAATGGAAATTCGCTTAGTCTGCAGGTTTGCTGCGGCGGGGGTATTGTAAATATATTGTAGTTCATAAATCACATTTTTATTGATCCGTATATACTTTTTCCAGCCTGTCATACTGCAGGAATTTTCAAACAATGCTGTAAAAGATGGTAAGATTCGGATGGGCACGTTTCACCATGAGACACTTCAACATGGGTTTAACAATTTGACAAGTCTTGTTAAGGTGAGTATGTCACCATTGACTATTGATACACTAACCAAGTATACCATCGCTTCCCATAATAGGAACTACCACGGTCACTAACACTACAAACTTTGTCTTCAGGGTTTGACCGGGTCACATACCTAAACATATGACTAGGAGCTGCTTTACAACTCCGTTACAGAAAGCCATAATTGGAGCAGGTGTCCTGACATGATCGAATCCTGAAGGGTGATTGACACCAAGTTTGTTGTGGTAATCATCCATGTTAAAGTAGGAGCAAGTTTAAGATTATTGGAACCTTAAATTAAGACAATAGAATTTGCTGCAGTAAACAACAGTTTTCTTTCGTAAACATTAACTTTTAATCTCCAACTGACAGACTGGTAAAATCTAGCCAACCAGTTGCTAGCCAAGTTGTCAGCGCCTTGGACTTCACAGCAGAAGGGACGGGTTTGATTCCCTGTACAGCCACAACACACACAGTATTATTTCCTTAAAAAAGTTAAAGTTCTTCCCCATGTGATCCCTCTTGTAAAAATCCCCCCAGCAAAGACAAGGCGGATAAACCAGTCGGCACAACTTTGATGTAATGTATGAGAAACGTCTGGCTTTGATAATTAAAACTTACAGGTTTGTTTACTAGCTTAAGTACTTTCCACTAATGTCTTGGTGCTGTAAACAGTGCAAGATAAATCCAGCAACAGACATCGGAGAGGTTGATTGTTAAATGTATTCCTCATCTTGTTTCAGATCTGTGTGGACCTTCGCGCATACAACGCTCTCAGAGTGTTTGCTGCCGATCACTTACTGGCTCCAGTTTTAGGCGACAACCTGTACGGAGGTCGTGTCCAGACTCTGATGGGAATCGCTACCTCCACACACCACTTTAGTGAAGCTGCGCTGAGGCCTCAGGTATTGCAAAGTCCTGCCATTCACCTTCATAACACTTTCACAGTGTGTGTTCTGTTCAGACATTGACTATTGGATCTTCCCATCTATATAGATGGAATATGGACCTGCTGACGCCAATTTTTGTTTTAAAAGCTCACATGTGTGAGCTAGTAACAGAATGTGTTGGTGTCTAAATTTCTATTTCTACTTCATTTTTTTGTTGCTGACCACTTTGATAGGTCACAACAGTTAGCTCACAATAATAATTCCGTTAGTTTGACTTGGTAAAAACATTTGTGTTTTCGACAGAAATTAGTAATTTAGATCAGCACAATCTGTTGGTGGCTCGCATCAACCACGAAAATTTTTATTAAAAATTGGGTGACAAATTTTACATGGGGATGGAATGCCTAGTTGTACCAACAGAAGGTTCAGAGTGAAGTTTTTAGAGTGTATAGTGACATGTTTGTCAAATTCAATTTTCATCCCACAAGAGGAAACTGGCCCCAACTTAGATTTTCAGTTAACTTTTAAGTAGACCAATACCCTAAGTAGGCTTAAGGCTGGCATCCCCATGCAGGCATGCCCATGTACAAGAGATTTGGTTTTGTGTTAACATTTTTGTAAATTTATTGTTAATCAATTTTTCATCAATAAAATAGAAATTTTTTCACAAGGCACAAAGGCCTACTATTATTTTGTCAGATATTTTTGAAAAGCTCATTTGTTTCAGGTGTTACCTGAAGAGGTTTACAGCATGTTGCAAGTAGACCGTAGCAACGCAGGAATCATACCAGTGCACGTCCACCTGTCAGAAATGGTGTTGCCCAAAATGTTGCGTGGAAAACCTCTACATCTCTCGGCCTCTTTACCTCCCCACTTTGAGTGGACTTGTCATAAATTAGGTTTAACGCAAGAACAAGAAGCAATCTCCGCTGTGTAGTATTAAATGTTGTATTATATTTTTTTACATTGACAGGCTATTAGTTTTTTCCAAACCTCTAGTGTAAAAACACATTTTACAGTGCCTATAGTAGTTGCCATTCCTGTGTAAAACACCCAAAGTAAAGTATTAAGAAAAAAAAATGTCACCGATAGAGTGACTCCTACATTTGATTTTGAACATAGTTTGACTAAGCTGTCCTTGATCGTCACTTTTAATAAATAGTCCTTGCTAAAAATCCAGCGGATCTTAGTCAGTAACTAAGCTGTGATTTTATTAATTCACAAATTTTTGCTCTAAATAATTAGGTAGCAATCAAATAATAAGGCATTTTGTAATAATCTATTCTATTTTAATCAAAGACTCCAATACACAGCATGAAAATATAATAAAAAAATATTATTTTAAAAAGAAATATAATTGGAGAAACTTAAAAACCCCAGTAAAATGCAGTCCAGTAGTGATTTATGAATTAGGAGTAGAGATAAATTTGAAAAGTTGTTTCAGCAACTGAATCAGTTATTGCGTTTAGCAAAGTATTTTGTCACATTCACAATAATCTGAGGCAATTATCAGGGGTTAGTGATTCATTGTAACAAATGTTCTAGAGAATATATAATTAACGAGATACAAAATCAAGGACATTACCAAAACCTTCAAAAATTAAGTGGATTTGCTAAAATAAAAGCATAATTGTTAATTCATTGGTACGGTTGTTCCTGAGATTACCATTGTGTGTAGTCAAGTCAAAAACATCAGTTGTGCCTGTGAATTAACAATCGCATTGGATGGTAAGCAGTGTCTTAATTAGTATGCAAAATGCCACACACAAAAATATTTCAAAGCAGCAAAAATCTGTATGAGGGACAGCTGTATTGGTTTAAACACTTTAAACCACAACGGGGTCGAATCTAAATAAAAGCAGTATTTATCACAATTTTTTAGCTGTACAAATTCTATAATAAAATACTAGATGGTCTTAAAATTTGACAGATATATAAACTCATAATATCTTATTGACAAAAAACACAACAATTGGTATAACAACTACGGCAATAGTCATCGCAATCCTCGTCTCTTGTCGCTGTTGCTCTAAGAGTACCTGTGAAAAAGAAAGTGTTTTAGACTATAGATCAGAAACTCCAAAAGAAAGCCATTTGGATTTTTAGGAACATTTGGAAAAGGAAAAAAAGTTCAGCTAGTTTGCCTGAAAATCTTGTCCTGGAGGACAAGCGACTATTTTAAAATATATCATTCTTTTTTTTTACCGCAGTAGTTTCAAAATATCTTTAAGATAGACATCAACACATCCAACACTGGACTTAAAAATATTGTAAAACTCTAACTAGCTGTTCCAAAATATTAGTAATCTACGAAATAATATGTTTAATCCATAGTTTTTCAACAAATAACACTGGAAATAATTTATAGATGTTTATGGCAATCAGTTTACCTGCACATGGGCCAGTGTATCGTCACCACTTGAATGGTCAACATGGTGAAGAAGTCTTGAAAATGAATTTCCTCTCTCTGTGAGAATAAAAATAGAGTTGTTAAACATTTTCTCTTGAGTAGTTGTAATATACTAAACGTTAGACATCAAATTAAATTCTTTCCCACAATTGGACATCTTCAGGAAGTAAATAGAAGAGACACTCACATTTATACATAATTGATAAAAGGAACAATTAAACTCATCCTACCCTCCGGAAATCCTGCCAATCGATCAATTAAATTTCAACAGGCAGTAGAGAAATGTCTGTTGTGATCATCAGATCAAATGATTAAGTACAGCACAGTACAAAATCTGGACTCAATCTCCGCCAGGTTAGCGTGTCTGTCATAACTGATCAGTTACCATAAATGTTTCATTTCCACGTGCGTATCGTGTGTAAATATTTATTTTTTACGTGTTAGACATGTTTGCTCTTCATATGAAGAAAGTTAACATTACTTGTAGCACCTGATGATGGCTCCACATAGAAGTTGAAACTAGTTGCGACTGCAATTCAATGGATTAGCTAATAGGAGGTATTTGAACGTTTTTCAATATTATTTGGCAATCCGGAGGCTACCATATATAATAAAGTAATACAGTAAGATTTAATATTTTTTTTACTTAGGCCTAAATATAAAAAAAATCATAAATTACCTTTGCTGATATTTTTTATTTCCATTACAATTTGGGACAGCTGTTCTTCATGCCTCGTTAAAATATTGGCAGCCATTTCATCAACTTCCGATGATCTTTGGGTGTGTGATACTGTCTGGACAACCTAAAAAACAATTTAGGCTTAAGTTACTGTAGTCTTTTACTGAGTTTAGTGATAAATTCAACACTACAGGATCAAAGAACTAAAAAATGTGTGCTCTAGTAAACCATTCCGCATCAAATTGACAGGTTATAGTTCTAAAAATTATTAATAGGCCTACTAGATGAACCTATGCAATTTTGCCCAACAATTAGAATGCAAGCTATTTTTTAAATTAAATCATTTAGCCTATTTAAAGAACCTAAACTAATAGAATGTTAGTGAAAAATCTTGTTCATAACCAAGTTGAAATACACTGTTCATGTACTCTATTCAAATTACATTGATTGCATTTTTACGGCAAAATAAGTTGTTAAACAGTAACTATACTCGATAAAAAAAACACAAAAACAGAAGCAGTTAATCCAGTAAACCTGGTCAAAAACGAAGAGATAGTATTAAGGTAGGCTATCTCGTAAAAAAAATGTAACTCAATACAATTTTTGAATAAGTTAGCATTGCACACAATAATGTCATCCTTAGAGCAGTGAAACCGGGTTTCACCTCAAGATATTGTTGTAAATTTTGCAATCTTAACAATGTATTTTACGTACCAGCTTACGTAGTTCCCTCATCTTGAACTCGTTGTTTATTGAGGAACCGACAACCCCAATGACTGTGCCCACAATGGAGCCGATCACAGACCAATATTTGGTTCTCTCTGCTTGGGCTCGCTCCTTCTCGTGGCTTTCTTTGACAGCAGATGATAAAAATGTAAAACATTCTCTCTCTTCTCTCTCACTTAAATTAAACTCTGTATTTAATCTCCTCTCTTCTTTTAGCAAATGGTGTTCTTTTGTTATGAGGTTCAAGTACCTAAAATTACATGCATGATAAGGGCAGGTTTTTAAAATAGTACTGTAAAGGCTAGCTTATTAAAACAATTAATTTAATTCATAACAATTAATTAATAGATTCAATGGAGGAGCATCTAGTAGGATTCAGTTTGGATAACCTATCATATATAAATCACTGGCCAAAACCATCTTTAGGAATCCTTTTGTTTCTGATTACCCAAAATCTTAAGTAGGTAGCTTAAAAAAATTGATTTGACCCCTTAAATTAAATGAGGCTAAAAATGTTTTAAGATGTCAGTTCTTGAACTAAAGGAGCAAGATTCAGGGAAGAACAACATAGAACTACTCTTCACTTTAGATTTAACAATGACAATACTCAAGTGAAGTGTGCGGTTGATTTTCTTTTCTTTCTTGACTACATAGGTACATCTGGTTGTGCCACATCATTTCCCAATAGGCTACCATTTAATCATTTAAGTTTACCGGTTTGTCGTTTTGATGTCTGCAATTAAAAGTTCATGTTCGTGCGTGTCTGTCTACGTGTTTTTAATGTAGTTGACATGTTTAATGTGGGCTACTGTATGTGAATTGACGACATCTGATGAAGCGATTGTGACATCTTTTGAAGATGACTTAATGACAAGTAGAAACTAGTTGCTGAACAAGCAACATTTGAATTAGGCCCACACAAAAGAAGATAGGTAGTTTTAAAACTATTTTGGATACAGTTTCCTAACTGGGCAACGTTAATATCAATTGAAACTATCGATTTGATTAGTAAACATGCATTTGGTTTTTTATTACCAGCAAGTTTGGTTAGTTAGGTTTTGTTAATGACAGTAGGATATCATTTTATAATTGAAATAGTTAAAAATATTGATTAAGTTATTAATCGATTGTTTCAACCGACATTAGCGTAGCCCAGTTAAAAAACTTTACCCACTATTTTTTATGCTTTTTAGATTTAAGTTTAGATAAAGGCTTTATTCACCATGAAAAAACAAAGGTTCTTCATTTCCATGATTTGGACTACAGTTGCCTACCTCTCTTCTCCTCGTGTTGAAGCATCCAACTCTGCATGCACCTCTTTGAGTTTATTCTGAATATCGGTCAGCTGCTTTACCAATTCTCTCCTCTTTTCTTGAGCCAGTACAAACTTGTCCTGTGCTTCGATAACTCTATTTTGGGCTATTCTAACCTCATCCATACCAGTAATTTCTTCATACTTTCCAACCAATTCATCAATTTTCTGTTTTAAAAAGTTACTACTATGATTCAATGCAATGTTATGACTAGAAAATGATTGTATATGACACTTGTCAACCTTAGTGAATTGTATTGCCCCGTTTTCTGATCTTCTCGAAGAAATAACCACTCTTGAAGCATTCTTCGATAGCATAACAGATCTGCTGCACTGTAATAAATTAACGGGCACAAGACAAATATTAAAAATTTTCGACATAACCTTCGGCGATTAAATTCTGTCTCTAAAGCTAACCTAAAAACAATTTACTGTAATGGTAGTATTACTATCAAACAAGTTAAATCCTCTAACAGTACTAACTGTACTTAAAACACATAACAGAATACTACGTTAGTTAAATTTTGTAATGTAGGATAAAACATAGTTCAGTATCCATCTAACCTATGACAATTTGATAAATGATAACAAAATTTTGACAAGACACACACACTAGACTAACCATGCTACAGGCTACAGTGTAGTATCATTGCATTTGCAGTGCGACTGCGAGTTGCAGTTGGCAGAGTCACGGCCGGCAGGGCAGAGTGCACCGAAAAACGCGAACCACCGAACTGAACGACCGAACAGTGTGGAATAGTCCAGTCCAGTCCAGTCACCAGTCACGGCCAACAAAGGTGGCCGTTGGCCGTCTAGGTGACCGTGGTCCTAGGTTGTCAAACTTATTCATGATCGCTAATTTGGCTAGTTTTAAGTTATACAAATTATAGATCAGTGGTTTATTACCACGAAAACAAATCATCTCTTGAAGTTCATTGAATTAATTCTTAATTCAATTGATTTTGTCAATGATTAAAAAACTATCTGGATACAAGGCCTATACCATAAGGGGGGGGGGAGTAAATATTCACGTTTTGTAAATTTATAATTTTCTCAATAACTGTTAATCTATGCTAATATCCTAATTTGACTGAAACTCAAGTTGAGTATTTATATGATAACTGAGAAAATTAATTAATTAAAGGTTGGTATCCTTGTATCTTAGCCACAGCCTTTCTTTAGTCTGTTCAGTTTTGTTCTTCTTCCTTCACATCAACATCAAGCAAAGCAAGCACCAGCACCACACAAACGCCATTTTGTTATTGGTCTGCAGAGTTTTGCAACATCTCACCTTGTTGCAACCTCCATTATCTTGCATTTTAAAGCTCTACTCATAAATTTCTTCTTACAGAAATTAAGAAGACATATTTATTATTTATCTACGATATCCAGTCATCAATTGTTAGGAAAAGGTAAGAAAGCTCGACAATTTGCTCAAGACAACGATGTTTTAAACCGGCGGCCTTGTCGGAGTGAATCTCTTTGTGTGACGAGGAGAGCATTATCCTTCTTGTCAATAATTAATTTTTGTTTTCAGCAAAGTGAACTCCAGTTTTTATTGATTTGTGTTGTGATAAAAGTTTAGTATTCCTTCAAAGTTTGTTTGTTCAAGTTTTCGCGAGTCGTAGTCGAAAAATGTTTCAGTTTAAAGACTTTAGGGAAATAAGTGTACCAGTGTACAACTTGTTCCACTGTTCAGGCTTTTCTTGGAACCCCAGGTAAGAGAGCGATATAACAGAATAATTCAAATAAAGAAGAAAGAACCAAGAATTTTTCTATGTTAAGCTGGATTCAAATGTTTCACTCAAGACATTAACTTAAGTTAACTTATTGGGTTTAACTATAGGAGGCCTAGGCCTTGCTTTTTAGCCTATTGGCTTTTGTTTTGGCCAAATATATTCTTAAGTTAATTCAGGATTAGTAATGATGTATAACTTAGGCCTATATTAAGAGATTGTGCCAAGTTAATTACACGTCACCTAGGCCTAGGTATCCTTAATGTTAAGTAAGTTAACTGGATGTAGGTAAGTAAGTAGGGCGGTGCTTGGTATTGTACAAGAAGAAAATATCAAAATGGCTGCCGAATTCTTAAAAGGCAAGAAATAACAACTAACTGTATGGTCAAGTGGGTATGTGTATGCCTCAGATCATAAGTTATAGGTTAGGCCTACTTGGTATAGCCTACAACTCTGACCACAGATAAAAAACCGCATATATGTTAGCCTACCTACGTGCTATACAAATCAAATTTGCTAAGTTAAGCTTTTTCTTTGGAATGTTTTGTAAAAGTGGTTTTTTATTTTGTTAAAAATAAGTTATGAATTTTGTGTTTTTGAGATTTTTTTTTGCAAAATGACGTTTGGGGTGTAGGCTACATTTCCCCCTTGATCTGGGGTTAGTGCACATCCCCCTTATTGTAGCTTTCAAGATTCAAGATTTATTGAGCCGTTCGGTTTTTAACAATTGTTCAAGTCACTAACACTAAACTAAAATAACAAAACAAAGATGCATTTCCTCTTGATTCACATAACAAAATGTCCAAAGAGCACACCATGCAAAATAGATAAATAAATAAAACTGCAAAACAAAACTGTATAGGCTAAAACATGCAGCAGAGAAAAAAAATATAAAAATTTACAAAAGAGGAGAAAAAGCAAAACAGAAAACTTAAAAAACCACACTCATACCTGTAGGCAAGGTTTAGTTAAAAAATATACAGCCTATATAGTATATATATATGTGTAGCTTTCCACTGCATATTAAGCTTTCAAATTGACTAATCAGAGTTAGTTTTAATAAAGTTGTAACTTCCAGTTGCTTGACCTATGTTTGTAAAAAATCTGCTGTAGGCCTAAGAATACTTCGCCGTTCATTCCACCTGTAGGCCCTATAAGTCATCCGTCCTCCTTGTTTACCCTGTTCAAACGTTGTACATTTGAAAAGGGTAAAATAAAGGGGAAAAGGCCTAAACTTAAAACACGTGGTGCAATCGTCTACAAATTCAGTTCAAATCTGTTCTAACCAAATGTAGGCTAATCCATCCAAACTTCTAACTTTTAGCAAACTCCTTTTGATTTCAGAAAAGGCATGTAGGATAAGGATGGTAAGTTTAGGTTGTTCCTTATTTAAATTGTGACTTCATATGAGGTTATTTTTATAATGAACAACACATTTTGTACAAGGTAGCCTACTTGGTAAAGTTAAATAATTCATTAGAATTTCCTTCTTAAGACAGAAAGTCACCCAATGTATTGTAAGTTAAACTTAATATCTTATGCTTCTTTCTAGTGATAGGTGAAATATAACCAGATGACAGTTAGCATCAATCAGATTTATTATCAGGAAACATATTTCCCCGCAGGTCTGACTCATGGACTCGGACAGTTCGTTGGATGAGGAGCACTATAGAGGGAGGAACCAGGGCAAACAAGAGCCGATACCAGTCCGACCTAACGTTGAAGACAACAGTGATGTTTCTGACGAGGAGAATATCTCCAGAGCTGCTCGCAGTATAGGTAGCATTTTCGGGCCATTTGTGGCTGCTAATTCTTTGTACAATTTGATTTTCTGGTAGTTGCAATTAGGCCTATCGGTATCTTTCAATACATTCCGACTTCTATTTTGCATTGGTTTTTAATTGGAGTATGACAGTTAATCTGGATGAGGAAAATTTGTAGGGTAGTAGACTAAAAGTAGGCCTACTAAAAATCTACAATCATTAGTAGGCCTAGACCTATTTAAATTTTTAGGCTAGGCCTACTAATGTGTTATGACTTGGAATAGCTACTTAAGTTAAGTTAAATGCATTTTTATTGCAGGTCTATTTTCATATTTTTTGATTTTTATATAAAGATTGTATAAATGTAGACAAGACCTTGATATCTCTTTGAATATAAGTAGGGTTATCAATTCCTCTTAGTTTTGTACCCGTTTATTTTGAGCTTGTGATTACAACATAGTTTGGTTGACTTGTAGAATCTCCTCCTGAATCACCGCAAGGAACTCACTTTGAATCTCCGCCAGCGTCTCCTGACCCGGAGAACAAACCAGGTACTCCGTCTCCTATACAGTCGCCTGATGACAGCGCCAGCTATGGTAGTCCTGCAAGATCCCCCGACTCTCAAAATGGTTCCCGGCCTCCTCGGTCACCCGACTCCTTCCATCCCAGAAGTCCTAAAAGTCCGAGAAGTCCTAGTCCCCAGTTTGCAAACCGCTCCCCACCAAGTGATCACGAACGTGGTCCTAGGAGCCCTACTACAAACTACCCTAGGAGTCCTAGTCCTACATCTCCAAGTTCCCCTCATTCAAGGAAGAGTCCACCCCAATCTCCCGCTCCTCGCAGCAGCGGAATTCGATCTCCCAGCCCCAATTCAAATTCTATTCGCTCTCCTTCTCCCTACCGGAACCGCTCGGTGAGTCCTAGATCTCAGAGTTCTCCCACGAATGTTTCTAGTCCCACCAGATTCAAAGGGAGAAGAACTCCAAGCAACTCCCCTCAGAGCAACCGTTCTCCTCCACCACAAAGAACCAGAAAGGATTCAATGAGCGATGACGGGAGAAGTAATATATCTTCAGCCTCGTCGTTTGGGTCTCCCCGTCAAAGCCCGGCGCGCCCTCGTACCCCCCCGGAGAAACCGCAGAACGTCCCGATGAAGAGTCATGTGGAAGATTTGTCAGATGTCTCGGATCTGGAAAGCCTCAACTCAATGTCCGACGAAGAGACTGAGAAGCCTCCATGCAAGGTTGGTAATTCTTTTAGATAAATGATATAAACTACCGTAATTAAATAGGGGCTTTGAACTTATCCATCATATGTTTATATTAAACTGTTGACCATTCATATATAAGTAGACACATCTTATACCCATGTTAAAGCTCAAGCAAGTTTTGTATTATGATGATAAATGTGGTTGAATTATCCTACAGAGTGAGCTGTTGTCGAGTATTGAAAGCTGTTGAATTTGCCAACTTTTTGTCCAAGAAAGGACAATCAATTGGAATCCAGGCCTTAATCATTATTAAACCCCGCAAATCACCGAAGGGTTTCATCTGCAATCCTTAGGCCTAACCTGAAGTCATGTGTAAAATGGTTCTCGGCCTAGTGTTCTAGAATGTAAAGGTGGAGACAACAAAGGTAAGGTATGTGGGATAAAGTATATTTATACTGGACTATTGTTCTCAGGAGAACGGTGAAGTGCGTGCAAGTGTTAACGACTCCAAGCCTGCACCACCTGTTAGAAACAACACATCCACTACGGGGTTGGAGGGAGATGACACGGAGCAGTTGGACTTTGAGGCAGAGGATAAGGTCGGTTGTTATTGTAGTCCGGGTATTACTGATACTCATTACTGGTATAACAGTGTTTTGCAGGTCAAATTATAAGAAAAACTAAAACTAAGCATTCAATATGTACCCGAAATTCAAAGAGGCCCTTATTTAACCAACTACATTATTATGAGTGATGTTTTTGTTTATAAATAGCTTTAACTCTCAAAGTGAATCCAAACCTATTTTTAAACTTTTTTTCTATTTTGAGCTAAGTTATTCTGAGAGAAAGCCTTGCCATTTAGAATACCTCAGATGGAAGTATTATGTTCTCTAAATCATTTAAGTGAATCACATAATTATTGTTCTGGTGTTTTGTCTACAGTGTAACAAATTTTTTACTTACTGGTGGGGAATGTATTTCTTTAGTCCATAAAAGTTTAATCTATTTGGTGAAATATAAATAAATAGCTTATTCCCTATATGGGAAATTCGCTAAAACCAGTTGATCAATTATAGACGTTCTGCTAAGAACAAAAAAAGCGCGGAAAATTTGAAAATTTTCCTTTGCTCTTGTCAAGACTTTACAAAGTACTAGGAACCTTTTCCGTTAATTTATTAGCCTACCACTATTAAATTTTTATTTGATAATACACAATGGAGGAAGTTTCAAATTGTTGAGGTCCTAACCTAATCCTAAACAGGGTTTGTCGATAATTATGACATTTTAACAAATAAAAACCTAATGATTTTGAATAAAGGGAATTTGTTACTTTTCAATGCCGTACTCAAACTTGTTGGGGAAGAAACGCTGGAAAAATGAAGCATTCTGCAATTTGAAAATGGTTTTCAGGAAGAAGGAGAGTGTGACGTTACTCGACCGAAGGCACCTGACACTGAGGCAGTGTTGAGTGAAGATGAAGGAGAACTGAAGGGGGATGAGTTAGAGGAGGGAGAGATCACTGACGAAGGAGAGAATCGACCAGAGGAGACGGAGCCGAGACCAATCTGTAGATTCTACAACAGAGGCCAGTGTACTTGGGGCTCCAGTTGTAGGTAAGTACAAGTCTGACAACCAGCCGCTTAAGATAGCTTAACCTGTAGAAAAACTTTCAGTGCAATGAAAAGTGTGTTTTAAAAAATTAAATAAGACAATGAAAAATAACTTTCATTCTGCAGCAAGACCAGCCGTTTTTAATATTCGTGCTTTGCAGGTCTAGGCATGTTTAAACACTAATTTTTATAACTCTTAGGGATAAATAAATACATTGCCATGGCAGTACAAGTTTTTTTCAGTGTTTATTTTAGCGAATTTCTCTAAAGGTAAGTAGCTATTAGGTGGCACAGTAAGACCTAGGCCCGGGACCAATTTTTTTCTTAATTTTGATGTCACCAGATGCCAAAAACACCATTTGTTCAAATTTATATATATACTTGCTGTAACCCGCGGGCTTTGCCCAGTTTAACTTCTTAATTTTCAAGACGATCTCGTTCGCATGGCTCAATCACGTCCTGGTTGAAGTTCGTTCGCTACGCTCACTCACCTTTAGGTTGGAGCTCGTTCGCTGCGCTCACTTGCCTTCAGGTTAGCTCGTTCGCTACGCTCACTTGCCTTCAGGTTAGCTCGTTCACTACGCTAACTCGCCTCCAGGTTGAAGTTCGTTCGCTATGCTCACTCACTTTTGGTTGCAAATTAGCTGTTGTCATAAATGTAAAAGAAATAATAGTGCTGCACCCTGTTGGTAATCCTTGTAACTTTAATGCTATTGAACATCATAGAACAGAACCAACTTGTTTAATTGAAACAGCAGTTAAGATTCATTAATTCCATTTCTCATAAGGTTAACATAGGAAACTCCAGAGCCACTGGGGCGGAGCCGATTGGACGGATCACAAAATTGATGGTGTATAAACCTATAACTTGAATAACTTGAATAATTTTTGTCCGATTTTAATGAAATTGGGTTTGAAGGTGTAATGCGGGATAAACTTGGATCAGTTCGCGAAACAGCATGATCGGACCATGATAACAGGTATTTACGGGGGGGGGGGGGGGGGGTTTATGGGGTAAAAGTTGGTTTTTCTAATTTTTGACCCTCAAAACACAAAAAAAGCTAATAATTCAGTATGTCAACTATATTTGTTCGGTTTTTAGTTACAGAGAAAATTTTAAAAAATTTTACTTTAAAGTTCCCATGCTATTCTTGTGGAGAATGTTGTAGTTTGCTTTTTTATGGATATATTTTAAACAAACTTGGCAAATTTATTTATTGTATATTAACTATTAATATTTTACAAAAAAGAAATCACACTTTATTAGCTTCCCTGTAGCAGCAAACCTAGGTATTTGTTAAACCTATTGCTATTTTAATAGATTTAATTGAAAATCAATTTGCAAATGGAAGTTCGCTTAGACGACAAGTTTTCTGCGGTGGGGGTATTTATTTACAAAATTGCATCATAAAAAACACCCTGTACTCGTGTTAGTTTGTCTTAAAAATAAATACGAACAAACCCATTTAAGTACGATGCACTTAGGAAACAAGGACCTAGAAGCTTTATATTAAGCATTAATATTGTGATAACAACTTTAAATACCTAAATGGGAAAGAGTTAAATAAAAAATAAATCTACATTATATACTCAAAAGTTGCAATATCCAACAGTAACTGTCTCTCAGATCGAGGAGAGTTTGAGTTGGGATAAAACTCAAACCTCGTGTTTCCAATCTCATCGGGGCATCAACTTTTAAAAGCAACTCAAACCTACCCTGGTAGGAAATGCTTTTGGTGATATTGAAATACGGTATTATAGGCCTAACTATTGTGTTTTTGGTTTATTTCTTGTGCCGTAGTGGACTTTTGCCCCTTTTAGGCGAGTATGCAATCGTAACAAAATCATTTTTAATTTACCGGTACATTATAAACAAAACATTATACTTAAAAAATCTTGTCCCTCAAGTTAAGAGAGTTAAAATGTCGTCCACAAAAATCCATAGATTCTTGTAGTAATTAGGTTAGACTAAAATATAGTTGATGAGTCAACTACTCAAAACCACTTAATTTAACTATTTAAGAATACTAGTGGATTGTCTAGTACAAACTAGTTTTTATAACTTGTAAGCCAACAAAATTTAACCTTTTTCTCCAAATTTCATGAAGGTATGGTGACTAATTAGTCTATCTGCTGCCTGGTTGCCAGATGTTGTTGCGTAATGCTTGTCTCCCATAATTGCTTAGTTTAACACATTTAGTAAATACAGTACCTGATCCAAATAAATGTAAACTGTTAACTAGGCCTACAGTTCTTTGATCAGGCTTAACTTAAGTTCAACAAACCTGCTTCAAATTAAGATTTGAATTTTTACAACAATATTTCTTTAAAATGTCAGATTAATCCCCTATTTATATAAACTTTAGGTTAAATGAACACTCAGGTTTTCTGCTACAAGGAAGGTAATAAAGTGTGTTGTTGTTGTAAAATGTCAATAGTTTAGTGTGATGAAATAAATAAGTTTGCAGATGTTATCAAAATATCATTAAAGGAGCAAACTACAACATTCTACCTATTCTTCATAATAATAACATGGGAATTTTCAATTTATAGCTTTTTAAAATTTGTTTTTTTAGTTTCTACTAAATGGTACAACTGAAAATTTTATGTTTTAAAGGTAAAAATGGGAAAACCAACCTTTACCCCATAAAACACTGTTTCTACTTCCTAATCAGTAATCATCCTATTTTGGTAACTTGTTTGAAAAATAGGTGTACATGTTTTTAACCACAATTCCTCAATATCGGTTATATCCAGCTACTAGGACGTCACGAATTGTGGATATTTATAGGGATGCACTGTGGATGCGATGCTCCCTGGTGTGGATTAACGTCCGCACTAGTGAGTACTACGACTATCCGCAGTACTATCCTGATAATTAGACCAATTCGTAAATTACAAGGAAAAATGTGGTTCGGATTCCACTATAAACTGTAGGTCCCTTAGTTGCCATTAGCTGCATGGGCTATTAATTAACAGCTGTGTCTAAGGAACATGTCGGCCTTAGTCACTAACAAGACTACAAGATCGCGCCACTCATCCTACACTCATCCTTCACTCATATTTGGGTTAAAATACGCACATAGTGGCATCCCCATCTTAACTAATTGAATTGAATTAAATATGAATTTGTTTTGTGTTTTTGGCCTTTGGAGACATAAAAAAAGTAAATCAAACTCTAGCCCATTCCCTGTATGGGAAATTCACCGATACAAAATCAATACAACACTTGTACGTTTGCAGGTTCGTGCACCCAGGTGTGACAGATAAAGGTAACTACACAATGTTTGAGATGGTGAGGCCGTTAGTTCCCGTCAATAATGGTCCTCCGCCCATTTACGGACCTCCCATGGACCCGTACCGACCAATAGACAGACCCGTGGTAAGTAAATAGCATATAACCAACTTACAAAGGTATCTTTGGTATCTCTCTCTAGTGGATAGAGTTCAAGGTTTCTATCTTGGAAATTGGCTTGGTGATAAATGAAACTAGAAATTTCAAATCTAAAAGACATTGATGAATTTTGCACAATATTTTTTTAGTGAAAGAATGTTGGATGTTGCACGATGTTTTGTGAGTGTGAGGAAAAAGGAAGTTAATGATGTTTGTATCCACAACATCACTTGTGAACATTTATATGACAGAATGCTTGTTTCCTTGGCAGGAGACTTGTGGCATATCTTTTATGAACAGACGACTCTTAAAATGTGTGCAGTTTTGTTGGTTTTGAGATTTGGTTTTGGCACATCACTAGTTCAGATTTTATATCCCGCCAATGTCTTTTGGCTAGGTCTAATTCAAGCTTTTAACTCAACTTTTAAAAGAACTAGCAACGATTTCACCTGTAATTTGCTTGCTAAATCAAATCAAATTGTCTTAATTCTTTTTACTCAAGGAAGGTGAATGAGTAATTTCATGAAATTTAAACAATTTTGTTTCTATTTAGCTTGTACATTACCGGTAATGTATTATAATCATGTTTACTACTAAACTGATTGTTCAACAGATTCCAATGGGACCACCAGTATACCAGCAGCCTATCATATCCCGTAAAGAAGAACCGGTTCCTGTCGTGGAATCTGCTTGGGAGAGAGGACTACGGCAGGCAAAGGAGGTAAAATTATCTTTTTACAGTTGTCAAACAAAGCCGTATTTTACTCACTATAGTTAGTTTGCAAAGCAGGTGTATTTCTGACATTTTATTTGGTTCACTTTCTGCCACATTCCAGAAGACAATTATTTAAGAATTTTAATTGAATAATAATCAACAATAAATGGTCCATAATGCAGATTACATTAATTTGTGTTAAATGTGTAAATAAATGTAATCAACAATGTATTAGTTCAACATCTCTAATTATTAATTTATACAAACGATTAACAGTAGGCCTACCTAAGTAAACAAGTAGGCCTACCACTTGCTCCCTAGTTGTGTAAATAAGTAATTGCCACACTTCACTCATAGCCTGGTTTCTGACCTCTTTGTTGTAAAAAAAAATGGTCGGCGGTCTGTCTGGCCCCAAAATGACTTTTTGGATTACCAACTTTTTTCAACACTGAGTATGGTAGTAGTTTTAATGGCCGTGAGCAAAATTTAAACAACAAGTATTTAAACTATGAAAATTCAAAGTAAACACGTCCCACTGAAAATGAAATAACGTGACAGTTAAGTTTTCTTTATTTTTGTTAAAGTTAGGATCGTTACTTTGTTTGTTAAGTTTGTTATTTTATTTTGAGAAAGTTTTTGTTATTGTTTTTGCTCCTCTTGTTATTGTTCGCAGCATGCTTTTTTGTCTTCTTCTCAACACACCTCTCCACCACTCTTTGATCGCATTTGCTGCACTAGTCAGTCTAAGTCTTTTGTCTCTAGTTTCTACTTCAAATTCCAGCTCTGCAATTTGTTTCCCTCTTGTTGTAATTTTATCTTTAAGATCTTCCAATAACAGTTTATGATCATCGATTTTCCTTTTAATTTGGAGAATATTTGTATCCAACTGTTCGAGTTCAGTAGAGTATCGCTCGTTCCAATAGTCAACTTTGTTTTGCAACTCGTTAATGAATTCTTTTAGTTGAAAATACAATTCATCGTGTATTTTTTCCTCCTTTTTCATCTGTAGGTCGATGTTGTCGACATTCTGTTTGGATATGTTTTTAGATTGTTGCAGTTTCAGTCTGTTTTGTTGAATTCTCGAGTCTTGCTGAAATTGATTTAGTCTCTCGAGAGTTTCCTTTCCAACAAACGCTGTGACAAAAGCGTTCTCTAAACATGGTTCTGTCATTTTTATGAAGTTTTTCGCCTCTTGTGTCTGCAGAGTATGATTCTTGATAGTTTCTCTCAGGTGTGTTATGGTTTTTTTACCATCGATATTCTCTTGTTTAAGTTGGTAATCATTGTAACGCATGAAGTTTTCACTAAACAGTTGATTCTCCAGGTTTTGGGTACTGTTTGTCTCTAAATCTCTAATGAGTTCTCCCCAGATTGTCTTGAGAATAATCAGTTGGTCGTGTATGTGTTGAAGCATTTGTTGACTATCTTTTATTCCATCTTCAGGAGGTTTAGTTCGCATTTTGTATGGTCTTTTTTCCCCGAAGGAGTTTAAATTTAATTCATGCATCTCAGAAACGTTTTGAGGAAAAATTTGTTTTAATATTAACAGTTCATCGGCAGTTTTTGAAAGCACACATTTAACTGCTGAACTCTCTAAAAAGTTCAACTTTGGTTTGGTTTGACTGTTTAAAAACGTTTCCATTATTAAATGTAGGCCTACTACCGTTTAATTTAGTTGAAGAAGAATTTTTTACTCAGTCAAATTTCATATTCACGCATTAGTTTCCAAGCGACTGATATCCTATAAATAAATAATATCAAAGAACACTTAGATCAGACATTACTCCAACATGATTATCTATTGCTACAATAAACTTGTAATTTGCATAAACAAAAAACATGTAGTTGTGTCTGTAAATATTATATCCAATAGTCATTGATATTATTCAACTGCTCAATGCACTCAGTTCAACAAATCTTTCACTCATATGGTTTGACCTATTAGCAACAGTTTTAGTTAAGTCCAAGAAAAATAATTCTGCACATTACTGCTCTGTAAACTTTTCTCATCACCAAGACTCTAAGATTTAAAAACTGGTGACAACTTTGACATGAGAATGGAACATCGATTCTATCAACAGTCGAAGGCATAACTCAACAATACAGCTAGAAACTGTACCTGACTTGATTTACATTCAGCGAAGCAAGTTTAAGGCTTCCACCCTTAAACCTTGTGTTTACCAAAATTGTTAGTGTGGTTGAATGTTAGGTCTGCTTAATAACTGAGTGGTCCCTGGCCAAGATGCAGAAAATGTAAATTGACGGTTAAAATCCTGTTCAGTAAAGCTTTTTGCATCTGCTCTTGACAGTACTTGGTGGTAAAGACTTATCTAACATAAACGAAAAAAATTGGATGGGTTGATTCTTTGACGTTGCATCTCAAATTAATTGTTTCACTACTATACCTACCCTTACTGTGTTAGTGTTCACCAATAACTTGTTTTTATAAGAAATTGCATCATTGTGCTTTAACAGAAAGCAAAATATTGTAGGCTTAGCCACAATTAAATTGAATACTCTGAACATAAAATAATCTTAAGAAGTTTTAGCTTCAGTTTTCCAATCGCTAAGTACAACATTTATTTGTAGATGCTCAGGAAATCATCTAAGAGGAAAGAAACTGAAGTTGATTTTGAAGAGAAGAAGATGAACTTGTCCCTGGGCCAGGATGATTTGGATAAAGAGAATGACTATTACACGCGGCCTGCAAGTCCAGTGATGATAGACGAACCAGATAGATGGGGGTGAGTGACTCGTATTGCAATGCTACTTTAATTAATTTAATGAAATATAGCAATCTGTTATCACATGTCTAATAGGTTTAACTTAAACTAATTATTTTAAATTAATTCATCCACTTAATGAAAATAAAGAGTGCTCCTATTCTTTCTTAAATTTACCCAATTAATTGGAAGGTGCATCTACACAAGTGTGTACAGTAATTAACTCTGGAGTAATAGCTTTGAGACATACAACAGTTCACTGTTGGTTTAAATTTGTTGTAGCAGATTTCCCAGTGTGGTGCAGTATATTACACTGAAATCCAAGCGGTAACTATTGCTGGTTACAGCTACACTCTCTTCTCTTCAATCAACAGAAGCAACCTTGCACCACGTTGTCGTTCTGATATACTTAAGTCTAGGATCACTGTACTTTTGTCTTAACACATTCGCTGCGGGTGGCTCGGATTCGGGACACGCATAGCGTCCTGAGCATGCGCATGTCCCGGGTCCGAGCCATCCAACCTTGTTAAACAAAAGCAGCCAGTATGAGTCTAGTGTTTGACGGAGAGCGTTACTACTTGCTGAGCGTGGTCTGTAAATACAATAGAAATCTGTTTTTGCCGGCGCTCCTTAGTTCGGGCGCGCTCAGATTTTTTGCGGATTTTTAAGTTTGCGCTTGCCTTAATGTTAGTTTGCGCTTGTGTTTAGTCGTGTTTGGACTTTTTTATGTATTTAAATGTTTGTTACTTAGACTAAACTTTGTAAATTTGTAAATTGTTTCTTAGGTTGGTAGTAAATTTCCCCGTAAATTCCCCGTCTGTCAATCTCAAAAATCTAATTTTTGTCCCGTCTCTTCCCCTCCATTTGGCAATAAATTCCAATGGGACCGGCTACGTTCCAAGCAGTGCTGCTATCTGTGGGTGTATAGCGAACTATGTCGACTCTCGTTGTTAAGCAGGACATCACCGCATGTTATTTGCAATTTGTTAGACCAAAATTGGAAAGCCAATTACACGCGGCAATCGGGCTTGTTCGACGCTGAGGGCTGCGCCGCACTGGGGATACGCCCGCCATTTGACGTGCTGAAGCGAATGTGTTAATATCGATGCGTCATCTATTCTGATCTCAATTTGCTCTTAGATCCAAGGCAGAGCCAGAAGCCAAGAGATATCGCACCATGTCCGACAGGTTTGATGACTACGGGGGTGGAGCCGAGGGAATATACTACCCTAGATCAACAGAACAGGTGAGTTCATCTTGATTGGCTTACGTCCAGGAGCATTCAGTCACTTATATGTATATCTTGATTCAAATAACAAATTATGGGGTTTCTGGGGATTATCATTTGATTCAATTAAAGTTTTCAAACACAAAAGAAATTTGAGAATTTAAAGACATTTATCACCATTGTAGGCTACATCTTTTATTGTCCACATCTGATATCGAGCCAAAAATGTCAATCTTGTGCATGTAAAAGTTCTACTCAAGGTCCATTTTCCGACTAATTGCTCAACCTCTCAAGCTTAAAAACCATGCTTGGTTAGGCTTAAAAAATTAGCCTCTCACACACCTGTACAATCCAGTAATCTTTGTTGTAGGGAGTGTCAGACTTTTCTGGTGGCTCCCCCAGTTTTTATATTATAAGTGGAACTAGTCAATTGCTCAGTACTTTGGGCTACCTTTGTGTAGGGAATAGCTTAAAGATGTTTACACTAATCAACTCTAGTACTTATGATTTTTAAATAATCTTATGGCGGTTTGCCAAATAAGCTTTACTTTAATCTTAATTCTGTGCAGGTCTGGCACCAGAGGCCTCACTATGACGAGAGTATGAGAGCTGTGTTCAGTAGCCGCAGCAGTAGCAGCAAGTACTACGCACGAGGGAGTAGGGAGAAGGAGTACTACCAAACACCTTCATCCTCTAGTAGCAAGCGGCAGAAATACTCGCAGAGGGAGGTGATAGTGCAACGGCCTGAAAAAACTAACTGGAAAGAAGATACGTGAGTGAATTTGTTACGATTTGCTTGAGATACAAAATAAACGGTCAAAGAAAACAAGATATTATTTGGGCAAAAATTGCACTAATCTTACACCTACTCTTCATGAGACTAACTTCAGTTTTTTTTTAAATTTATTGTTGTTAGTGCAGACTGCAAATACCCAAACTTATTTTTTCACTTATATTTTTGCTTTTCAGCCCACCCGCTAAACCTAGCCGCTACACAGAGACCAGAGGAGGTGGAGGGGGGAGAGGAGACGAATGGGCCGATCCTTGGATGAGGAAAAAAACATCTTCACCTCTCACTCGCAAGCGAAAAGCAAGCTACTCATCTGGTTCCTCGTACTCTTCTTCGAGGTAAGTCATTTTAAAGGGGTAGAGCTTCTTGTAGAAACTGTTTGTGAGGGTGTGCACATGTAAAACAACAACACTGAATTGACTGAATCGAGATGGACGAGGCTGAATCTCAAGTTTAGAACAGGTTGTTTTGTTTTTCCCAAAATGCAGGAGGAATCTTTTAAAGAAATGGATACACACCTTGTTTGGCAAGTTTGAAAAATGTGTGTACTAGTAAAGGTAAATGGAAATGATACTTGAAAGATTTTAATTATTTAAAAGATAACTGCCGATTTTACAGTAATCTAATGATTATAGGGACATATCCGGGGTATAATCTCTGGCAGTATAATTTTTTCAATTTCATAGGCCTACCTAATTTCTTTAGTATCGAAAGATTCCTGTACTGTATCTATTTGAATCCTCCAAAACGGGAATAAAAATTAAGACCGGTACATTTTAGAAGTGTTTGCTTTGTACTCATAACTTTTCCTTTGGTTGTGCCATGACAGTTCTATTAATTACTTTTAACCTGGTTAAAGTGTTGTTAAGCACATGTTAAGTAAGTAAATGATTGCAGCTCGAGTCATAGCAGCCACAGCAGCAGCAGTTCATACTCAAGGTCGCGGTCAAGGTCGAGTAGGTCCAGGTCAAGGTCGAAGCCTGTCCCACCCCGTCGTCTGCTCAGACCTACCTCCCCTGCTGGCAGAGGTGAGTCTGACCATCTATCATGATCATTCCAACTGATTTGATCCTGACCCTTCAAGGTACAAAATACCATGTAGTGGTTGTAGTGCTTTCCTCAATATCTATTGGTATGATTGAATAGAATAAACAGGACCTAGTTACCAAGCTTTGATGACTTTTATCTTACCTTTCACTGTGAATTGGAGACATCTCATTCCCATATCGTTGCCATGGTAAGGATTCTTTGAATTGAAATAAATATAGTTAAATTGAGTCATCGACAGTGTGTTGCTTTCAATTACTTATTTGCATTATTCACCAAATCTACATCCTAATTAAATTGAAAGACATATTTACTGAAAACTTCATTTTTAATGTCAAATTAATTATCAAAAACTTAAAGGAAAAATAGAATTTTTACTTTTTGTCCTAGGGCGCTTGTCAAAAAGGCCAGGGTTGTTTTTCTCATTACCTACTTCAGGCTAGGCCTAGGGGTTGTGGCATTATCACACAGTATTTAAACCCGGGACTGAAACCCCACACACTACCACTTAGACCAGCTCGCTCCCCATACACTACCACTTAGACCAGCTCGCTCCCCATTTTTATTTTTGAGATGCCTGATGCCTGTTATCCAAAATCAATGCTCCCTTTTCCAAAATCAATGCTCCCTTTTCCAAGCTCTCAATCATAAATGACCAAGAGTTTGATTGTTTGCAGGAGGTAAAGTTGCTTTGTCGCCAGCTTTGTTACCCGAGAAAAAGATTACAACAGGATCAATTCTTATGAACCCTCCTCCACCCAGCCCAAGAGGGAAGAATAAGAATATGGCAGCCAATCCGAGCCCACCTGTGGACAGGTAAAGTCAGAAAATGTCTTCTAGTCTTAAGCTACTTTCTAATATTCTTTTAGAAAAATAATCCTTAGATAAACAGTCATTGTCATACGTAGTCTTTACGGATAGGGATAGGTTTGGGACAACTCTGTGTATTAATTTTCTTCTAATAGTCTCCCAGAAGCCACAATAATTCTTATACATTCTGCGAAATATTTTTTGCTCTACTTTCTAAAAACATTGCATTTTCTAATTGTGGATACAATTTTTTCTGTACCCTCAAGGCAGTAGAAATTCCATTTTCCAATACCCTCGAAAAATTAAATGCTGTTTACCTTATCTCCAAGATGAGACATGTAATTTGCCTCTACTCTCAAGGTAAGAAATTTCCTGTTTCCCCCTACTATGTAGGAAATACCTTTTTCACCGCACTATGATGTTTTTAGCTGTTACGTTTTGCTGGCCATGTCAGCTGTCATCGTCATTTGGGGACCAAGCAGGTTTTTACATCACTAGAGCCGCAAAATCAGCTGCCCGCTTACTTTCTTAAAACATGAATGCATATTAAATACACAATCAGTGTTCGTACCACGGAACATAATTTTCGGCCCTACCTAGGTACGAAATATACTATTTTCTTCCATCCCCAAAGTAAGTTTTAGCAATATAGGTAAGAAATATCATTTTCTTTACTTTTGGATAGGGTATTTAGGTATTCTTATCTTAAAGATGAGAAATAAAGTTTGTCCTCTACCCCCTTCTCTGTTTTTAAAGTAAAAGAATACTGTTTTCCTCTACCCTCATGGTAAGAAATATTGTTAGGCCTACTGTTCGTTTCTTCAGTTTAGAGGTCTAAGATTGTAATGTAACAATCCCAAAGCCAGAGTCTATAATCACACTGTTGTTACAGACCCGGACCCGGTGTACCAGCTCGTCTATTGGCTCACAGCAAGGCCGCCTCAGCCGTGGCCGCCGCAATGCGCTCCGCTCGCTCCCGCTCCAAGTCCTCTCGTTCTAGTGGCTCCAGTGACTCCAGCGGATCCTCCAGTGACTCCAGCGAGTCCAGTTTCTCCTCATCGTCCTCAAGTAGGCCCGTCTCCCCCTCCCCGCCCGGTATGTGCATGAGCTGTTGTAGAGTGTCCAGCATTCGTACTAACCTTAACACTGAAAAAGAGTGCTTATTTACGTTCTGAAATATTAAAAAAAATATAGGAAATAAAGAAAATTATTTGCTAGGTTGCTTTGTGAGAAAATCTATCACGCCCCTTTTGTTTTTCGTCAATAAAATCACCAAAGTTAATTTCTTTATAAAAAAGATTTTTCCCGAAAATTGTTAATTAGGCTATATATTATTGTGAGGCGTGAGTGTATGCGCTACTTATCTTATACTACATATTTGCCTTAAACATTTTTTATATATTAACTTCTTCTAATGTACCTATAGCTTAAACAATATTTTCAATGAGAATTAGTTTTTTAGTAGCTACAGAAGTAGTTGAGTAGTGAATCTACAACAAATTATACTTTTAAATTAGATTCAGTTTGGTTTGTTCTCTATTTCTTCTATTTTGTTGTAGTGATTTGTATTCTTTCTATGTTTTGCATGTTAGTTTTACAACTATTCTTTTGTGTAGTAAACATTTTCTAATGAAACATATGGAATGCACTTAATGCATGTGATAAACCTTTTGAATGTGAGTAGCCTAATATTTGTATTTTCAAGTCCTCTACCTTAGAAATACTTGGATGTTTAGTATGGTATGATTTAAGGTTTGCAAATTTAATAAGTATGTTTTAATGTTAATTAATAATGGTTGAGTAAGTTCTGTTTTGAGTTATAATAGTTGGTGGTTTACTTACCTCTTCTTGAACAATTTATAAAGTAACTTATTGGTTTCCATGGTTGTTAAAAATGTTTTATGATTTTGATAAGATCCGCTGAACACAAAATATTCTTGTCTGGTAGTACTGTAGTGGTGTGCGATGTTTCGAAATAGTCATTCAATTCGATTTTATGCATCAAATTTAAAATAAATGCTGCATCGCACATTTCTATCTGATAGTATTAGGCCTACCTTGACATATATGTGTTCAAACCATAATGATTAGAATCTATAGTGGTTATTCATGTACCTGCGTCACCTCTTTTTAAAGAGGTACTCTAAGTAACTAGGCTTAGATTCTGAGGATTTATCTTCTAAGTAAGGACGTAACATCTGGCAGCAATCTTGAACTGACGATGCGGTTGATGTCGTAAATCACTATGGATTTTAATGGCATCAGCCGCGAAGAGCCTACGATGAGGATAACCTATAAGATTGATGACCAAGTACACAAACCACTTATTGTATCATTAGCAATAAGTTGTATGGGACATGGGTATTGATCCAGGTTTAGTCATCTACCATAGTTTTGCTGTCCAGTATTGTGTTAAGTATAAGTAGGACATTAGTAGAAATAGACAAGCAGTAATTGCCAGTAAAACATAAATTTTTAATTTACTGATCATCCAATTGTAAAATTAGTTCATACAGTGGAGTCCCGATAATCCGAACTTCGGTAATCCGAAACCAAATAAAATATATTTTTTAATTTTTTTATAAAAAAATTAAAATTTAAAATTTTTTTTGAATTTTTTAAAATTTTTTGAATTTTTTTAAGTTTTTTTTATCAAACTTTTAACACAGTTAGCTGTACCTTGTCAACGTATTCTGTAGCGGCCGGGCGAGATAGACTTTTTTGTAGAGTATTTTAGTATTTCACCATTTTTGTTATTACTGTAACAATTTTCATATTCGTCCGACAAATCACAAATGAATTTTATTACTGTAAGTGATAATGCTGCAGCCACCAGGTCTAGCCTTAAGTAATGTGAAAAACAATCCCGAGCTCGTGCCTGCGTCCTAAGACAAAAAAAAATATTCAAAATAAAAAAAAAAGTTTAATCCGAAATATTTGGTAATCCGAAATGGGCCTGGTCCCAACCATTTCGGACTAAAGGGACTCTACTGTAATATATTCAATTTATTTTCCTATTATTTAAATTTGTTATTGAATTTCCATTATTTTTTCAGTTCGACAAAAGCGCATCGTCATTGATGAAAGAGAAAGACTTGCACTGGCAACAGCTATGAAAGTGAAAGCTATGGACGCTCTAAAGGTAAACTTTGACAACAGCTTTAGTAAATACCTCTCTCCTGGCTTACAATTTTGTGGTACATTGTTATTAATTTCAAATGCTTTAATACAAGATGACTTATCTCACTATGAGTGTAGTATTTTAATGTATATATAAACAGGAGTAACTAGTAAATTTCTTTTAATTTAACAAATGCTTACTGCAGGTATACCAAAACATAATTAATTTCAAATAGAATAAAGCTCCTCACATCCAGCGAAAAGTGTTGCAATGTTGCTGAATAACTTTGTAGGATTAGTCTTTTGATAAATTTACTGTCATTGCTTATTTTAGTAAATTCAGTTTTAACTTGAGAATATGTTTGTTTCAGCTCTCTGGACAAAAACAGCAAATCAAGCTGACTCTGAAAGGAGCAGGTAAGGCTATTTTTCCTTGTTAGGATAAGTTTTATTTTTTCCCAAATTAAAAACGAAGAAGCCTACAATTGAATAGCTGAATCTGTACTATTTAAAAAAACAGTCCGTCTATCACTTAAAATAAAATCTTTCTTTGAGATAAGAAGACCATCTTTTGCATAAGACACCTTGTTGCGTGCTTTTAACTACTTGAAACTCTTTTCTTAAATATGTTTGTTGTTTATCCATTTCTTCTTCCTTAATCTATTCCCATTTTGATATTTCAACTTAGGGCATTGAGACATTCAGAGAATTTTATGGTGGAGCTTTTAAACGTGCTTTAAAGTAACCATTGTGCTATAATTAGTGCCTAAAACATTGCTATTTTTTACCTTCTTTCCTTAACTGAACAACGTTACTACTGAAACTGCTCCTTTTCCAATCCCGCGATATCCTGACTCCAGGTACAACACTGTACCCAAGTACAAATCTGTTCAAAGATCTCAAGCCTTTCTTCCACTATCAATAAATTTTCAATTTATATCAATCTAAAAGAAATAGTTTAATTTGAACATGTTATTGACGTCAATTTTAACAGCTGATTCTAAGTTTCTTGTATCATAATTTATTGATATTCAACAGGTGACAGGACAGCAGCTCCAGTTCCATCTATTGGCAAAAAGAGGCTGGCAGAATCCCCTCCTATGGAATTTTCCCCTCCAAAGGTAAGGTTTACTAGTCAGTGTTACCAACTTAAAATTTTGAGTCTCCCTAATGATATATTGTGAAGGTCTTACGCTTGAATAGTCCAACTTCAACCTAATGCCTTTTAAAAAGGTAATGAATCTGACATGTTAAAATATTTGATTAAAAATCCAATTATGCAAATGAAAACTACTTATCCTGCAGTTTTTCTGCAGTGGGAGTATTTTTTTTCTCTTTTATAGATAATTATTACTCTCACACCATTTCTCCCTTTACAGGCTGGCACGAAAACAACACCAAAGAAAGCTGCGCCCTCGAGACGGGAAGAACTTCTGAAGCAGTTGAAAGCGGTCGAAGACGCCATCGCACGGAAGAGGTCTAAGATCAGTTAACTTTGCAGTCAATAATCTTGTCTATAGCAGCAGACTCCATTCCTTGTATATATACATTTGTCCATACATAACTTAAAATCATGTACGTCTTTGTTTAGATAACTTTGTAGTGTTGATTCTCTTGTAGCTAAGTTTATAAGAAATAAATGTAAAAAGTGAATAATTCTTCTATGTTTTTAACCTGTTTGATATAGTGTAGATTTAAGAGGTTTTTGTTCAGCAATTAAGGAAAAAATCGACATTGTTGAACAGATTTGTTGGTTTTTTATTCAGTCCATGGAATCTATCCTTATTGTTTGATCACAACTTGTACAGCTAAATTGGATCGACTGGACTGAATAAAAAACCAAATCTTTTCAACAATACCGATTTTTGATTCCTTAGAGGATAGTTTGATTCCTAAGGCTTTTATTTCTAAATGAATAGTCGGAGGGAGATGCACTGGCGGTTTCAGCCCTACTGGAAGGATGGCCCCCTTTTTTGAGTGATTGTGTGGGTTATTGGGAATTTCAATAGTTGTTAGTATTCATAAAATTCCAGTAGCAAACACACTTACAACATTAATGTTTTTTTTTTTTTAACTTAAATTTGCAATGTTTAGTTTTGTAAAAAAATCTAACTAGATCTTTTGTTTGTAGTGAATCTCTGTATGTACCAAGAGAAATTTATAAAATTGAAGGCACATTAAGGAAGCTTTAAAAAAGTGTTCTTTAACATACCGGTATTCCACAGAACTTTTCTATCTACACACCAATCTATAACATTTTATGGATTTATGATACCGTAAGTTTTTTTTTGCTAACTTGGTTGTTGTATGAATGAGAAAGGGTGAACTGGCACAATAAGACCATATTACAGCTTTGTTTGAACTAGTTTAAATGATTGTGGAACAAGGCCAGGTGACTGATTATAACTGACTCATTAAATCTATTGGGATGAAGAAGCTCATTAAATGAACAGCTCCGCCGGCGAACGCTGCAAGTGACAAAAAGTGAATACTGTATTTGCAGAAAACACCAAAACTTTCTGAACAATTATAACACAGCCAGTGCCTATGCATTCAGTCACTTGTATAAGTGCTGCCAACCTAGGCCTATGTATTTTAAAAACAAAATATCCCTTGCAGTAGAAAATGTCACTTGCATCGTTTATCTTAAAATATCACAATTTCACAATGAGTACTTTGTATTGATCAGCTTGTGTTCTTCACTCACCTTAATTTGTTAATCCAGGACTCGTCAAATGTAACACAACGAAGACACAAACACACATACACGCACATAAAAATCGTCCTTGGATTAATATACTCCGACGTTTCGCGGGACCAAGATAATGTCCCGCTTCCTCAGGGAATTAAAACTTTGTTTCTCTCGCGTACGCGAGCCGAACGCCTAACCACGACTGCCGGTGCCGGATCAGCTGTTCCAGTAGAGGGGGGGAGGGCAGGGGGGTTGGTGGACGTACTGGTTATTGTAGATAAGCCTTTGACATCCTTGGCCTTGTCTCTCAGCTGTTCTAGTTCTTCTTTAATTATTGGTAAATAAACAGTACTAACATAACATCCACCGATGGTCGTGATAGAGGCTCATCTTCAATAGCCATAAATAGCGACTCTGCCATGTTCCGTTTCCTCCAATCCGGTTCTTTGTATAGAATTTTGCTGGAATCCCATTTTACTGTATGATTCGTCTCTAATACATGTTCACAGATTCTCGAGCCATACCTATCCTTATTTTTAACCTTTTTAACGTGTTCGTTAATCCTCACCGTCACTGGCCTTGACGTTTGCCCTACGTAGTTTCTACCACACGAACAAGGAATTTTATAGATAATATTTTTTGTGTTTTGCTGTTCATTTTCAGGTTTTAGTTTGGTGAGACGGCTACGAATTGTGTCTTTACTTTTGAAAACTGTACGAATTTTGTATTTTGAATTTATGCGCCTTAATTTTTCTGAGACATTTTTAATATAGGGTATACAAACAGTAGTAATGGGTTTTTCCTCAGTGGTGGGTTCCAATTCTCTGGAGTTATTTACTTTGTTTAGGGCCTTATTAAAAATAGATTGGGGATAGCCACAGTTGTTTAAATGTTGTTTTATACTGTCTAGTTCTGTTTTAAGTATGCTGTCGTTACTGCAAATAGATTTAGCCCGTTTGATAAGACCGATAACCAAGCCTGTTTTGACATGAGTTGGGTGATTAGAAGCAAAGTTTAGATATTGTCCTGTAGCAGTGGGTTTTCGGTAGACGCTAGTAAGCCAGCCTTGATCCAATTTTTCAACTAGTACGTCTAAAAATGGTAACCGATTGTCTTTTTCAAGTTCAATAGTGAATTGTATGGAGTCTAATTGATTATTTAGGTGGTCTTTAAATTTCATAAGCTCTTCCATTGAATCCTCCCACATACAAAACACATCATCTACATAGCGCAGCCAGATTCTTGGTTTGGTTTGAAATGATCTAATTGCATCCTGCTCAAATTTATCCATAAAAATATTGCTTAAGATGGGGCTTAGAACCCCGCCCATCGCCATACCCTGGGTTTGCTCAAAATAATCATTTTCAACTTGAAAGTAGTTTGACTTAGTACAGACTGTTAGTAGTTCCATAATGTTGGATATGGGGATCTTAGTTTTATCTTCTAGATTGACGTCGTTTTCAAGCTTTTCCCTCACAATTGTCAAACAAGGGTCGATCGGAACGTTAGGGAATAAGTTCGTCACATCAAAGCTGACGAGGATAGTGCTATTGCTGGGTTTGTGTGGGTTTATTTTGTCAATAAAATCTTTTGAGTCTCTTATAAAACTATCAGATTGACCAAAGTAAGGTGTCAGCAATGGTAGGAGGAACCTAGATAGTTGGTAGTACGGTGAGTCAATTGCACTTACTATCGGACGCAAAGGGATGCCTGGTTTATGCAATTTAGGAAGGCCATACAGATGTGGAGCTTTACTAAACTGTGGGCTTAGTTTAAAAAATGTGCGGTCTGTGACGAGAGGTTTAATCTTGGCCAGTTCCTTTTTAATTCTATTCTGGATTACGTTTGTTGGATCACGATCAAGTTTTTTGTATTGACCTCCATTGATAAGGTCAGCTATTTTTTTCCTGTAATCTTGTGTGTTAATCACAACTACAGCACCACCTTTATCAGACGGGAGTATGACAACTGCGTCATCCCCTTTTAATTTCCTGAGAGCAGAATTTTCATTGTTGTTTAAGTTAGGTTTAATATTAACAGATTTTTTAAGAGAGTTTACTACATCACATCTTACAGAGTGCTATTTATGGCTATTGAAGATGAGCCTCTATCACGACCATCGGTGGATGTTAGTACTGTTTATTTACCAATAATTAAAGAAGAACTAGAACAGCTGAGAGACAAGGCCAAGGATGTCAAAGGCTTATCTACAATAACCAGTACGTCCACCAACCCCCCTGCCCTCCCCCCCTCTACTGGAACAGCTGATCCGGCACCGGCAGTCGTGGTTAGGCGTTCGGCTCGCGTACGCGAGAGAAACAAAGTTTTAATTCCCTGAGGAAGCGGGACGTTATCTTGGTCCCGCGAAACGTCGGAGTATATTAATCCAAGGACGATTTTTATGTGCGTGTATGTGTGTTTGTGTCTTCGTTGTGTTACATTTGACGAGTCCTGGATTAACAAATTAAGGTGAGTGAAGCCCACAAGCTGATCAATACAGTATAAAAACCTCGCCTAAAAAACATGTCTTTCAAAAATAGAATGAGTACTTTGTTCTACAGAGATATTCAAATGAAGGCCTCAAAACAGCTATTATTCCATTCCATTGTCACAAAGGTAAAAATTGCAAGACTGGTTAAAAAAATTTTTATATTTTACAAATAAAATCTTCATCTTAGTCATCTCTCCATGTAACTTCTACTTCGTCCGTCCTGAATCTGTAAAAGATTAGATTTAGATGAACACTTGATAACAAGTATTGTAACAGCTTGCCTTTATAATTTGGGAGTGAAGGCATTTTAAAGATTATACATGAAAAAAACCTTACTTGGCCTTGAAAATTTAAAATCAAGGAGCTTATGGTTAAAAAATGTGAGACCTTTTTTAAGGCAGCAAAATTGTGGGTTACGGACCACTGCCACCACTAAAATTTATTATTCTCTTCAAACATTTACGCCGTTTTATGGGAAGAAATTTATTCCATCCCTTTGGTCCTACCTTTAAAACAATAGCTCAACAACTGGGGTTTGCCAAAACGTCAATAAGCCCGAACATATACTTTAAGCTAAAAAAGGAGTGCTGTAGCTTCCCCTAAAACCGCCTGAATTTTGTGAACGGACTATGGTACTGTACAGTTAATTTTTGTCATTTACCACTCAGTCACCCCTTGCTTTTCTTGATAAATTCTACGCACAGGTCTAAGGCCCATGTGGACAGATAAATTCTATGTTAAAACAAAGTCAACGTCTTCAAAGAAAAAATTGAATTTTTCATCTTTCTTCAAGTAAACTTGAATTTAAGGAATTTTCAGAGGATTGTTTAAGGCTATTGCTAGTCCTTATATTGTGACCAAAGAGTAAAGCTTACATTGTGAAATCTACCCTGAACAAAGAGAAAAACATTATCAGCATATTTGGGATTGACATAACACAGAACTAAAGATGGACGGAATTGTCCTTTAGATCGGGTCAGGATTTTTATTTCCATCCTGATTTTTGGGACAGGAACAAGACAGGATTATTTTTGAAGTCAAGGAAAACTTGTCTGTGTTATTAAAATCTTGAGTAAAGTTTTTAGCGAAAGCAATTTCTTGACTTTATTGTCTCTTTGCCTCTCTCTAGCAATTGCTCCGACATTATTGTATGTAACCCGTAATAGCAGTAAAATTGTAATTATCTCCTCCTATGATTGCGACGAATTTGTGGATATCTACGATCATGGCAAAATTGCTGACAGGTAGAACAAATACCAAATCCCCCTGAAGTTAAGGAATATTATCATTTTGAAACCCGTCCACCCCTACATGAAACATATCTGAACATGCTTCATTTACAGCATACTGAAAGTCTACAGTGATGAACACAGGTGTTACCTCTGAGTGATCGTGGTCTGGTCCCACTGTGTAGGCCCCGCAGTGGTGTACAACAACGCCCCCGCCACAGCTATCATGGCCCCG